AATTAAAAAGTAGCACCACCAAATGCTGACCTCAAACAAGGATTCCAGAAAGGAGTTCCAAATGCTGGTGTGATAATGCAAGCTCCAGAAAGGATTGTAGCAGGAAAATAATGAAGATAATTTCATTTTCAAGACCAGCAGATGTTGACCTTATTCACTTGATTCCTTTTAAACCTCTGGTGCTAAAAACACCACCTCATATACTTACACTAACTGAAAGACCACTAGATCTTCTGGATTTAGACTTCCTCCATGGGCCGGGGATATAGCTCAGTACCATAAGCACCTCCCTGGCAAGCACAAGGTCCTGAGTTCGATTCCCGGTACAAAAAAAAAAAAAATAAAACTTCCTCCAACCCCGCAAAATGACAAAATCTGTCAAGTTGGCAGGCTAAAAAGAAAGCACTCTGTGAGTGAAAATAATACTCACCAAAATGGACAGCACGTCAGAAATGATTCCACGTTTAGCATTTTAAATGTAGATGTAAGAAGAGTTGAAGAAACATCAGATGACATGACTATCGTAGATGCAGCTTTATTAAGATGACAGGGCTGAGGATATAGCTCAGCAACACAGCACCTGCCTGGCAAGCACGAGGCCCCGCGTTTGATTCCTGGTACCACAATAAAAGAAAAAAGACAATCAAACTAAATAGATATCTCCAACTTCTAGAGGAGAAAAACAACATGTCAAGGCCAGCCTGGGCTACACAGAAAGTTCAAGACCCTGTCTAAAAAACAAAACAAAACAAAAAAGACTTGCTCTGTAGCAGAAAAACCAACATCAATCCAAATGGAAGACTCTTTGCACCAAGGAGTTAGAAGGCAATTTTCATTACACTAGCAGGCTGGGGAACCCGGAGGTTCAAATCACCAGCCCAGAGTCAGGTTTGAGTTCAGTTTAAATCTGGTTTGCAAGTGGGAAGTACAAAGCTGATAGCCGGTTATCACATGACTGGTTACATGGAACACAAGAACTATGTCATATATTATCAGGAAGGTTTGTACAGGAACATTCTGGGGGAGAGGGGGCCTGCGAAGAGTAGGTCGAGTTGAAAGTGCCCTTGACTGGGCCAGTCTTCCCCCAGACATGACAGCCTTGAAGCAAGTTGGAATCACTGTATATTTTTAAAACACAAGCTGGACACAGTCAGTTTGACCCACACATTGTTAAGGGGGAACATCTGGGCCTAGACAGTCAAGGCTCGCTACGTGACAGGGAGCATGAGCATAGTCACAGGCTCTGAACTGATGTCTAACTTTTGTTATAATATGCCTACAAATCTGCTATTCTGTAAGTGTGCCCTGATAGCTCAACTGCTGGAAGTATAAAGGATTTACAAACTTCCTTTTTTGTTTTTTATTTATTTATTTTTTTTGAGACAGAGTCTCACTATGCAGCTCAGGCTGGCCTTGAGGTCACTATGTAGCTCAAGCTGGCCCTGAACTCACAATGACCCTCCTGCCTCAGCCTCCCAAGTGCTGGGATTACAGGCGTATGCCACCACGCCCAGCTAACTTACTTGTTTTTGTCTTTGCATGGTATGCCATTTTATAATTTATGCCCCAAAAATGTATTTTTTCAGAAAGTAGGGGAAAAGATCTATATTTGTCAAAGTAAGGATACATTCTGCCACTCAGATGTATTTCCTTTGTCTTAGTCATTCTTTTCATTGCTGGGACACGATACCGGACACCCAGAGCTTAAAGGGAGAAGTTTATTTTGGCTCACAGTTTGAAGAGGTTTCAGTCCACAGTTCCTCCAAGGCAGGACGGCATGGCAAACGGGAATGAAAGGGGCGAAACAGCTCATGATGTGGCAGTGGGAAGCAGGGAGTCATCAGAGGAGGAAGTGTTACTGAGTTTGGGGGTGCTGGTGTCTCCTGGAGGTGGTTTCTAGGTTCCCTCTGTCCTGAGCAAAGAGTTGGTCAAGACAAGCTCAAATGGTAGGAAAGTTTTACTAAAGGTAGGAAAAGCAACAGGCTCTGCAGAGTGAGTTTGGGCCAAGTAAAAGCAGGAAAAGGAGTACACCCCCGGCATGAGGGCGGGCCATCCATGCAAGAGAGAACACAGTGGCAAAATCTCAGTGTGGACTGTCCTTTTTTGTATCACCCATGCCTCAGGCTGATGTCAGGTCTAAGCCACCCTACTGAAAACCCGCTCAAGTTCTGAGGAACAGTCTACTTGCAGGGCTTAGGGAACTGTTCTGCAAATATGTCCTGGGGTTTTGTAATTAACAGGTCACACTTACTTCCCTAGCCAGTTTTGCCACCCACTAACCACTTGTCTTAGGAGGAAGGAGATGTACCCTTCTAGGCCACAACCCCAGCAACCCTTCTGACCAAACTTCTCCTCCTAAATCACATTTAGCCATAAATTCATGAGTGGGCTAATCCACTGATGAATGTCACACCCCTATGATCCAATCATCTCCCCAAACCCTCATCTATGAGTACATGCTTTAGAGCTTTAGAGAAGGGGACATCTAGATACAAACCATAGCAACCTTCAAATTTTTCTTTTGCCTGTTTTGTAATTAGGCTTTACTTTGTTTTTTAAAA